AAAAAAAAAGCAAACAGAATGTTAGGAATCATTTAAAAAGGGATAGAGAATAAGACACAGAACATCTTATTGCCTCTATATAAAACCATGGTATGCTCACATCTTGAATGCTGTGTACAGATGTGGTCGCCTCATCTAAAAATATATATATATTGGCACTGGAAAAGTTTCAGAAAAGGAAAACAAATATTATTAGGGGTTTGGAATGGGTCTCATATGAAGAGAAATTAAAAAGACTGGGGCTGTGTCTACATTGGCAAGATTTTGCGCAAATACTTATAACACAGGAGTTTTTGCGTTAAAGTATTTGCGCAAGAGAACGTCTACACTGGCATGTTCTTTTGCACAAGAGATGTGCTTTGCGCAAAAGCATCCATGCCAGTGTAGATGCTCTCTTGTGCAAGAAAGCTCTGATGGCCATTTTAGCTTTCGTGCGCAAGAAATTCATGTTGCCTGTCTACACTGGCCTCTTGTATAAGAACAGTTGCACAAGAGGGCTTTTCCTGAGCGGCAGCATCATAGTTCTTGCGCAAGAAGCACTGATTTCACACATTAGAATGTCAGTTTTCTTGCGCAAGAACTCCCCGGCAGTGTAGCTGGTGCTTTTGCACAAAATCATGCCAATGTGCACACAGCCTGGGAGTTTTCAGCTTAGAAAAAAGAAGATTAAGGGGTATACGACAGAATTTATAAAATCATGACTGGTGTGGAAAAAGTGAATAAGGAAAAGTTATTTACTTATTCCCACAATATAAGAACTAGATGTCACCAAATGAAAGTAATAGACAGCAGGTTTAAAACCAACAAAAGGACATTTTTCTTCACTCAGTGCACAGTCAACCTCTGAAACTCCTTGCCAGAGGATGTGATGAAGACTAGGACTTTGACAAGGTTAAAAAAAGAGATTCTTGGAAGTTAGGTCCATCAATGGCAATTAGGGTGGGTATGAATGGTGTCCCTAGTCTCTGTTTCTCTGGAGGTGGGTGACAGGGGAGGGATCATGTGAGGATTACCTGTTGTGTTCCTTCCCTCTGGGCATCTGGTATTGGCCACTGTTAGCAGACAGAATACTGGGCTGGATGGACCGTTGTTCTAACCCAGTATGGCTGTTTTTATGGTTTTATGTAAAGCTAGAAATACAATGAACTGGCATGACAAGAGTGATGAATTTTTAATTTATATGGCAAATAGACATACTATGAGTATTATTCCTTTAAAATGCTTGGCTCGGGGTGGCTAGTAAATATGTTAGTAGGAGAAAATCAGCACTAAAGGAATCTGTATTTCTTGATAATACAGTGTTCAAGAGGTGAATTAAATAGTATAAGGTATTTTAGCATAATTAGTGCTTTTCAGTGAAAATCTTTATCATTAAAAATAAAAAGGATACTTCTAGCATTATAATAATAGTATTAAAGTAGCTTTTCAGTTATCAGTCTGTCAGTTTAAGTTTTTCTTTTTAATATAACTGTCAGAGAAAAATACAAAAGATATGTTAAACTAAAACAGAAAAATTAGAAAATGGAATAGCTAAACAGGGAAGCAACTATCAGAATCGAACATAAATGTTTTACTTTCTATAGGCTGTATGCATCATTTTATACTCCAGAAAACATTAGCAACCATCAGTAAATGCAATCAGTGCTTACGCTGTTATGAAAGGGACTGCTTCAATGTAAACATAGTTCTTTATGATGTTATTATGATTGTTTGCACAAACAATACTCTCCCCTACTGCTATATTGAGAAATCAAAGGATACACTGATACTGTGTGATAGAAATAGTAATATTATTCAATTGTGAGTTTAGATTGCCTAACTTCAACCTCCCTGATTTGGAGTCAGAGCCAGAATCTAACAGATCATATGATGACAGTTTGTCTTTATGCTTCAGATTATATCACACAGTTCTCCTAATATAACTAGTTATTCTTTTAACTGGTTAACCCAGGCATGCATGATGAGGAGGCACTTAAATAGTTAAAAATAGTAAGTGACCACTTCCTAGAGAAATCATGATCAGAATACTGTATTTTCTGCCAGTTTTCAGAGATGCAGCAAAATTATGCTTAATTGTAGCTACCACCCTATAATGGCACTGTATGCAGTAACTAGAAATAGCACTGTGCTGATTATTGTAGACATACACGGTACTTTTCTTGAACTCTGGTGTCCATAATTTTTAAATCCGTATTATCTCTCAATGGTTGAGATGACTTACAATATGACTGCTTAATTAGCTCTCACTTACTGTGATTGTTTTAAGTTAATGCTATATATAAAGTCTTCCATATAGCAGGAGAAAAATCTTCTTAAGGAACTACCATGGGGCTATGCTCGCCAACACCCCTCTCTCTGGGGGCAGGTGTCTGGCCAAGGGGAGGGGACAGGAGCGGGCTGGGGCAACATGTCTGGCCAGGGGTAAAGGAGTAGGAGCACGCTAAGGTATAGGCGTATAGCCAGAGGGGAGAGGAGCAAGAGTGGGCTTGGGGGTGCAGGGTCTCAGTGGAAGGGATGAGTAAGGGGAATGGGAGTGTGCGGTCTTGGCAGGCCGGACTACCCCGGTTCCCTTGCCCCTGCCTGCTAGGATGAGCCAGGTTCATCCCAGTTCTCCCTGGCTCTCCCCCCAGTACCAAGGCCGCCC